TTGCCTCTCTATTTATTTACTGACTTAACTCACGTGTGTTGTAATTGGACACCAAATGATTTTAAGAGCTTTTTCTAGTGCTAAAGTCACTTGTTGAGCTGCTAACTTTGATGTCATGGTGCATCTTGGTACGTACTATTTTACTTTCCAGTGGGGCTTTAACTATTCTTTGTTCAGAATTGATAAAAAATAAAATAGAAGCAAGTTCTGCAACATAACGAGAATTCAGTGGCAAAGAAAATGGTTATTTTACCTTTGGAGGTAATGTGTTATCAAATGAGGTTGATAAATTAAATAGTTATTAGATATAAATTGTATAACGACAGTGCTGTCTTTTGCTACTGTCACTATCCGTGATCAAACATTTTTACACTCCAAAAGCCAACCATTAACAAATCTTTTTACATAGTGGCTGATCAAAGGGCAAGACAGCTCAAATTTGCCCTGCATACTTCCTCCACCTTTGCCCCCAATATCTCCTTATCATCAGTCATAAAAACCCACAGTGATAAAATGCAAGGATAGAAACTGACTCACACTCACAGGAGTTATTGCATTTTTGGAGAAATTAAACAGTACATGGATTTTGGGGAAATTGAAAATGGAGGTAAGTTACATTTTTTTGTGGGCAGAAGGTATTGCAGAAGAGGAGAGAGGAGAGGATAGAGAAAATGCCTAGAGTCATTGAGAAGTATATCTGTTAATTAGACATTATGCACATTGAATACAAGGTAAATATACAAGGTAAAGTAGAACAACTGTTTAAGTGGAACTTCATTTGCTACAAGGTACCAGTTTTGTTATTGGCCTGCTGATTTTATTAGGCAGATTTAGAAAAGTATCATGCCAAATGTTGTTCACCCACCAAATGCAAACTTTACTTTGACCCAGCTCTTATCATTATCTTCATGTTTGTACTGATCCACCCTTCAACACTAATTTATGCAAGCTTGCACAAAACACCCGTTTGTGTCACTGTGAGCTCATTGAATGCTTTAACAGTCTTATAGGTCTCCCTCCTGACATGTCAATATGCCTACCTTAGGTGAGAGTTACTGTCAACAAAACGGCTTATCACCTATTGTCCTACACCAGGCCTGAGGAGTGTGTATAGGCACTCCTGGATTGACGGAAACACAATTGAAAAATTAAAAGCCAACTATTAGTTAGTGAACTCTCCTCTCCTTTCAGTGTTTACTTAACAACAGCAAATAACCTGGTATTTATATGTTCATATTGGCTTTACATTCACAAGGTAAAAGATGTGTCACATTGAAACCAAAAAAAGTGACTGAATCTAAGCTCAAGCAGTATAAAAGGCTAACTAGTACAAAAAAAAGGAAGGAAAATGGTAACTTTACGAGAAGTGGGATTCAGTGAGAACAGGTGCGTGTGGACTATCCTACTTGACCTCCCTTGAACACTGTTGATTTATTGGTATGAGAGCGGGGGATATGTAGCAAAGGACAGTACCTGTGCTGTATACTGTTTAGTTCCCTATTGTTCAGTAGGCACGCACAGTAGACAGATATTTGTTCCTACTTCGTCTGATTCATTCAGTATGGAAGTGACGTTATTTGTGTTACCCGAACCGGCCGCATCCGTCCTCGTTTTTTGTGGGGTTTTTTTGTTCAGCTTTATTCAAGAAGAGTAATTTGCATACACAGTCAGGTAAAAAAAAAAAAAAACAGTATCACAATGTAAATTCAATTAATTCACGCTCGTTTGTTTTGGTTTGGAGGCGGACGTGAAGTGACGATTTACGTTTAATTTCGCGCAGCATTGTGGGTGGTAAAATACAATTAATTTCCTGAAAGAATGCGTCCGATCCATACTGCATGAAACCCGGAAGTTAGTATCCATACTGAAATGTTCAGTATACTGAGGTGGACCCAAAAAATGCTTACTGAATGACCATGAGACTTCAGTCTACTGAAACTCCATACTGAAAAGTATGCATTGCCTACTGAACTGTGGCTATTCGGAAAGGGCCAAGGACTACATCCTCTGCACATGGGGTGCGGGTCATAACAGCTCAATTTCTTCTTTTCACTTCTTCAAGACAGCTCTCCTCTCTTATCTTCAAACAGCTTGCTCCTGTTTTTAGTTCTGGTGATGCTGATTTATAGATTGATAAGCTCTTGCCAAAATGTATGTAAAATGTATACTTTATGTATCTATATGAATGTGGGCCTGTGTTTCTCTACTCTTATTGATTATAACTATTGCATGTATATTTGCACTTCTAGGTGGGTGAGGGAGGGGTTGGTGTGGGAGAGCTGTGTGTATGTGTGAATGTTAATGTCTGTTGTAATGTTCTCTATGTAATGTTCCTTTTTTTGTCTTTTCATTTGTGTAAGGGACCCCCTTGAAAACAAGATGGTGCATCTCAAGGGGTTATCGTTATATACTGTTAAAAAAATGCTTGTGGGAAATTAACGTATACATCCGTCTATTCTTAATCAAAAGCTCTTTTTTTCGCTGCCTGTTTTTCTTTCTTTTTATTTTTGAGGAGGACATGACTTTTCCAAGACTCATTTATTTTCACCTGCAGTGTCGAAGCAACTCTCCTCTGCTCTGCTTGCCCCTCCATGTGTGTATTTGTTTTTCTATACACTCCACTTGCTGCACTCCCAATTTGAATTGAGTGGAGGATTTGATTGGCTGATAATCCCTTGTGTGCTGATTGACAACAAACTAATTGGTCTGTGACGTTATAGGCCACTGAACTCAATACCACAAATACAGTAGAAGCTATGTGCATGTTACAATAGATTAATGTAAACAAAAATGTGCGCTATTCAAAATAGAAACGCTCATCAGACATTAACAACGTGTGTTTGCGGGTCCGGATCTGGACTGCAGTCTGCCAATTGGTGACCTCTGCTGTAAAGCAATAATAAATATGTATTCTAAGTTTTTTGTACAGCAGATGACTGTGTTATTAACCACCAGACAAGATGAATGTGTTATTAAGCACCAGGCCAAATTTCTGTAAAAAAAATCGTTAAGTATATATAATAAAGTTTCAAAGTAGTACAAGCAGTAATCTCTGCTCTGTCAATGGTGGATTCATCTGGCTGCTCTATTAGACCAATTAAGCCTTACATGTTTAGGCCACAAGAGCCAGAATCAGATTGTCACTTAGCACACTAACCTCCTCATCCTGAGGGAATTAAAATAAAAAGACTAAGCTTTTCTTAAAATTCAGGGATCCAGGGAAGATGCTCTTGCAGAATAAAGGCAAAGCTAACTAGCAAAACTGCAGACTGTAATGTTGAAAGTTCTAGTAACCTGGTTCGAGCAGGACAACCGAAGATGCTTATAAGCACAGAACTTTTACATTGTAGCGCAAGTCAAGTTGACAAGTCAAAGCGCTTTTACACTGCAGGCCAAACTTAAACATCACTTAAAGTAACCTTTTATCTGGGCAAGAGCAGCGTACAAAACAACAATAGATGCGTTTCAGCACTAGGCCTTCATCAACGCTGATGAAGGCCTTTTAACATTATTACTGACATTGTAGCTATAAATCTATCATTGTTGTTACTCTGTCTCTATCCTTCTCCTTCATCCTGCATCTCTCTCTAATCAACTTTCAAAGCCCAACTGAATTTTGGTAGATGGCTGTTCAACATGAGCCTGGTTTCTTTGGTCCAATTACAATTTAAATTATTTTTTTTTAAATTAAAATTAAAAAAATAATAATATTATGCTGGATAAGCTATCCGCTTTTAAGTGGGGGTTATATTAAAATTGTTTGGTATTTTCAATTTCTATTTTTAAGTACAAAAAGTACAATGCCTCAGTGCTTTTGTCAATCTTTACTTTTATTGGGTCTGAGTTTATATAAGTATTAGTGAATGCCTTGCATGAATATTTTGAATGTAAAAATAATACAAGAGGGTCAAACTGTTTGCCATACTTGAAAGTGTGAACAACAGGAACGAGAGGAATACAAAGGAGAAATCCTACCTGCATATTATCCCATATGCTTTTTGTAAAGCGTCTCGAGACACACTTGTGAATTGGGGCTATACAAATAATGATTGATTGATGGATTGATTGATTGAGTGATTGATTGATTGAGTGATTGATTGATTGATTGATTGATTGATTGATTGATTGATTGATTGTCACTGTAAGCTCACATACCTCCTTTAAATATAGAGTTAGTAGCTTTTTCCTAAATAAAATGAAATTTAGACTTTTACAAAAGCAAAGCCACTCAATCATCACTTATGGGCCTCCATACATGTGTGGTGTCCCATGCCTTTATTTTCATGTTTTGGTTTGTTTTGGTTGATACAGGACATTTCTGGGTGGGGATGGGATGTTTTTTTCCCAGCCAAAGATAGTGCGCAAGTAAGTTTAGGAATGGATACATTTCAGCGATTAGATGTGATTCAAACCGACGATTATGATGGAAGTGGCTATAGCGGCAACCAAAAAAAAGAAAATCATCATATTGAGGTGAAACACCAAGCAGATAAAGTCAAAGTCAAAGTTAGAAAGTAGCCAGTAGACCAGAAAAGTACAAGTACAATCTTATGTCCATTTACCATTTTCTGACACAGACACACTCACACAAACACGGTAAGTGTTTCAATGTCTAGACCTCACTCTACATTTTTTAAGGCATGAACAGGGTTTTTGCCTTCTTCCTCTGACGATGAGTACATTTTTTGCAAAAAGATACGTAATTGAAAAAGGCTTAAGCTTGATGGCTTCAACTGTAGCAGCATATCAGTCAAGGGGAAATATAAGACATATTATTTACCTTACAGCATGATTACATCCACCTTTATTTATTATTGTATCTGTTTATGTGTTCTTTTTTCCTTAGACTCTGAGAGAAAGGAGGAAAGCCAGTGAACATACAGCAGAAGATACATCGGACAAGAATGTGAAAAACAAGGACGATAATGCCCCGTTCAACCATTGCAGCTCCGTGGACCTTGACAAGGCGTGTGTGTGTGTCTGTGTGTGGTTGCTTTTGTAATAGGGGACACATGAAGGGTGAACTGTCATCCGGTTATTCACCCTTGTTCATTCCAAAACTGTCCCTGTTTCTTTGCAGACTCTGAAGGTCACATACTTATAGTTTTCTAGGCATACACTGTTCAAAACACACACACACACACACACACACACACACACACATATTGTTTGTTATTATTGAAGAGCTGACCTTAACCCTTACTCACCAAATTCATACACTAATTAAGTTCCATGCAAGACATCTTTAACTGGTCATTCACCGAAGTTCACATTGAGGTTAACTTGCCCAAGGATACTTCAACAAGCTGAAATTGGGAGCCCAGTATACAACTGCTGATATTCTGCTAGTTATTTGAGGATGACCCACTCTACATCTGTACCACAGCCTCTAAAATGTCACAACTCATGTGCTATCCAGCCGAGAAAAAAGGTTTTTCTTTTTACTAGGCTGGATACATAAAAAATGCAATAAGGATAAGCAAAAAAACGTTTTTAATAACATTTCTATTGTGATTTATAGTAACAATGCATCATGAAAATTATTCATAGCAACTGTTGTTTATCTGATTAAGGTTTAACTGAGGTTAAACCAACTTGAGTTACACTTTATTGCTGACTTCTACTTTTTGTAGATTGATAATCAATCAGTCATGGCACATAGTATGAAACAAATATTGCTTCAAAATTGTAGATCAAAAACTCAAATTTGAAAAGGAAACTTTGAAGTTTTTTTATTTCACTTTGAAAAACCTTGCTAAATAATCAAATCAACAATAAATTAAGGAAAAATAATTCAAATCCAATTTTGATTTACTTTTGGAATCACTTTTGCATAGCTTAATTTTTGAGGTCTTATTTTTGATTTTCACAATTGTTTTTTTTTTTATAAATTCAGACCTTGTTTTTTCATTAGTTTTAAAGTGTGTTGCCTATAGGAAATAACACTTATGGGAGAAGTATGAGTCAACACTTTTTTCACCATATTCACTTGACTTAAAGGGAAAAACAACATGAAATAACTAAGTTGTTTTACACAAGCTCTTGACTTAGCTAGCAACAACGGCTATATAACTTGTGAGTTTGCATATAGAAGGAGACCTTAAATGGCCTTCAACACCACAGTCAGCATGTGTTTGTAAAAAGTATTTTCTAATCTAGAGGATTAGGTATTTTTCACAAAATACATATACAGTTTAAGATGAAAGTTTTCAAATCTAAGTTATCTACTGTTGATATGTCTGCCTTTTGCAGATAACTCCCAGTCTTGGAAAACACTTTTTAAAAATGTTAATCAAACCCATGAGCATGGAAGTCTCACTTTATATTAACCATACACTTTTTATCTGCTTTGCTCTTTTGCTCCCTCAGTGTCATGTTTTTACTTCGTTCATTTTGTAATTTATAAACTAATAAATAACATATCATTTATAATATTTATTTATCAACGTCAAAATTTTGATGAGTGTACTCCCCTGGCTGCAGGGGAGATAGAAAGTGATAGCACAAGGACAAAGATGGAGACGCAAGGGTAAAAACTGAATTTGCAGGTTAGAAATCTTGGGTATTTTAAAATAGATACTCTAGGTTCACTTCACATTTTTTACTGTAAAATACATATACTATGTACAGAAAGTGGAACTCATACCTCTTCCGTTAACTCTGTTTTCTGAAGGCAAACTGACTAAAGAAGGTCCAAAGAAACTCTTGTCTCCAACCATCACAACTTGCTCTAGAAAAGTGTAGAGTAATTGAAGTTACTAAAGATCATCATTCTGAATTTTGGTGACCAGAAACTGAGTTATTGTGTAAGGTCTTTTAAATGATCTTGTACTTATAGCTAAGTTTCTTTGGCTTCCTTAGCAAGTTGTTTAAATCCATAAAAGCTGGTTTAACCTCAGCCAATGGTGTTTATACCTTTACTTCCACTCCAAGCATAATTCATCAATTGTCATCAAATCATCAAGAAAATCCTTCATTCCCTCTGCAATAACCATTCTGAACAAAATCAAATACACCCCCCCCCCTTTTTTTTTAGAAGCTGTTGTTTTTAACAGTCCTCTTTTAATGTCTGTACTACACTTTGTGTTTTTAAGGGACAGACAATAAAGTCTATCTATCTATCTATCTATCTATCTATCTATCTATCTATCTATACTCTTTTTGGTGTGCTTTTTTACAATTCTGTCATGTCCGAATGGAATGTAATTTCCTAATTTTTCATTGCTTGTAACTCTACAGGATTTGGTGGACTGGAGGAAGCCCTTGGCATGGCAGGTAGGCTACCTCGGAGAGAAATACGATGCGTGGGTTCACCAGCCAGTTGACAGACCAATCCGATTGTTTGGGAACCCTTTTCTGGAGGCAAGCACCAAGACATCCTGGTAAGACAGGGGACTCTTTCTCATTTGCAATACATTTGCATAAGATTTTTCTGCAAATCACATGTAGTAGGACTCTGTCGTATAGTTTGGCTTATTTGACAAAATATAAATAATACATTTGTATGATACTGAATTTAAGTCTTTTAATTGTTCTCGCCCACTAACCCAAGTTATTGTTAACACCAAAACAAAGCAGTCACTAAGTAAATATATTCAAGTGATTGTAGTCTGAAGGAATTTTTTGCCAAACCTATGGGAAATCCAAACATAAACAACAAAAATTACAATTACTACAGTTCTCAGAGAAAGACACTGTCTCAGTCTGGGTCTCAGATAGCTCACCAGCTACAAGCCTAAAACCCTGAAAATATCATGAAAATATAGATATATAGATAATTTAAGGAGGACAGCTCCGGATATTCTCCTGACCTGGCTGTTCACAAATGCAGCTCACAGCAGGAGACTATCCCTGTCAGACAAGAGAGGTTGCGGGGGGTCTCCTGAGGTAAGACGTGACGTAAAAAAACCATGCGGAAGTAGTGGATGAAGCAACAGAGTCCGCTATACGATGCTATAATGAGAATATTTGCCTTTTTATCAATGCTACATGTAGTTCAACAGAATCACACTATCAACAAAAGATTGGAGAACAACATAGGCTACTGAAGACAGATCACCATAATGCAGCCATTAAATTACGAGCTTTAGCAAACTTTAGCATCTTGCTCATGCCAGCTCGTTTATTGTCTGAACACAGTTAATTAACCATAACCAACACATTTCAGAAATTAATATCGTAAACTCTTTGATAATACAAACTCAAATAAAACACTGTTTACAGTAAATTAAATACATGTAGACAAATATAAAAAAATAAAAATAACATCAAACACATTAACTTGACTTAAAATCCTCCTCATATTCACAGTTAACTAAGCGTTACACATTCAGCTTTATCAACATTCCTAAGTAAAAAAACATTTCCCGCTTGCCTGCACACAAACCTTGTGCAGGAAAATGGTGAAGCTGCGTCACAGTATCGTTCAACAATCAATGTGAATGTGAAACGGAACGCAAAACATCATTATCACATTGACTTTTACTAACGAGCTAATACTTTTAACAATGTACAAAACACATGTTCCTCTTGTTCAGAAGGTTTGCTTTACATTTACTTAAGTAGCTTGCACTGACGAAACTACTGTACTCACTCGGCTCATGAGACGTAACTTAGCAAGACGCTACATGTCATGACAAAAATACATACATAACCAGCTTATAGATAAGAGATAACGTTTTTTATATTACTTGTGGAATGATAGAGGACAAACTTTAGTGTCTTGCTCATGCCAGTTCGTTTATTGTTTGAACTGTGCATGTGCAGGACTCAGTAATTAAGCTTCTCTAGGGAATCCACAGTGGCATAATAGCGCCATCTACTGGGTAAACAGTATATTACCTTGTGAAAATGTGTCATTGCAATTAGAATAGTTCATAAAATATAAAAAAAATAGGGGGGTGCCTGTTTAAATAAAAACTATACATGTAGCAAATTCAACCTGATACACATACCCAATTCACAGCAGCAGTCGCAGTATATTCTGAAAATTAATAGCACAGGAGACAGTAGACATTGAAACAGCAGAACACTTTAATCTTGCAAGATTATATTTACATTGACAGTTCACAAGTAGTCAAAGAAAAAGCCCCCCTTCCTCCGGTAGGCATACATTCTTATAGTGGAGTACACACATACATGGTGTGAGAATCTTATAAAAAACCTTGAAAGTAAAAAAAAACGGTGGAAAAAAAATTAGGGGTCTGGCAGGAGAAACTGCGGGTGATGTCTGTGCGAAAATGTCAGCTGTTTGGGTACACACATACAGCTCCTCCGGCAAATATCAGGAGTTTTTCAGGAGTTTTCTGTGAAAACCCTATGTGAATGACCCACCTGGCCAACAAACTGACCGAGTTCTACTTTCTCACTGAAAGACAATGGGACAGCCCATGATGACTCCACTCCACAACTCACCATCCTCACCACAGCAGGGACTCAGGACTCTCAACGACTGTCCACCCCGACAGCTCTCCCACCTCAAACTATGGGACCCTCTGCTGGACCTCCTGCAGTTCGCCTAAAGAGCCAACGCTGTCAACCGGGCCCTCCGTTTCATTCTCAAGCAACTGGACTCAGCAGGAACCTACGACAGGATCCTGTTTGTGGATTTCAGCTCTGCTTTCAACACAATCTGCTACAGCACATGCTCTCCCAGCTGAACGTGCCTGACTCCATCTGCAGGTGGATCACAGACTTCCTGTCTGACAGAAGGTGAAGCGGGGGAAGAATGTCTCGGACAGCAGGATTATCAGCACTGGTTCCCTTCAAGGCTGCGTTCTTTCTCCTCTGCTCTTCTCCCTGTACACCAACAGCTGTACCTCCAGTCACCAGTCTGTCAAGCTCCTAAATTTTGCAGATGACACATCCCTGATTGGACGCATCTCTGGTGGGGATGAGTCTGCCTACAGGTGGGAGGCTGACCATCTGGTGACCTGGTGCGGTGTGAACGATCTAGAGCTTAATGCTCTGAAGACAGTGGAGATGGTTGTGGACTTCAGGAAAAATGCGGCCATTACCACCTCCATCTGCGTGTCCACTGTGGAGTCTTTCCGCTTCATGGCTTCATCATCACACAGGACCTCATCAAGAAAGGACAGCAGAGAACGTCCTTCTTGCGGCAGCTGAAGAAATGAAACCTGCCAAAAGACCATGATGGTTCACTTCTACACTGCCATTGTTAAATCCATCTCTCCTCCAACACAGCCTGGTACGCTGCAGCCACAGCAAAGGATGAAGGCAAGCTGCAGTGTATCATCCACTCTGCAGAGAGGGTGATTGGCTGCAATCTACCATCTCCCCACGACCTTTACACCTCCAGGACCCTGAGGCGTGCAGATAAAATTGTGGCCTGGATATGGCCTGTTCGAGACCCTCACCTCTGGCAAGAGGCTGGGGACCATAGGGACCAAAACCTCTCACAAGAACAGTTTCTTCTCCTCTGCTGCCAGCCTCATTAATATGTCCCTGCCCTCCCTCCTCTCCCCACATAACACAGATTCTCAACTATCCCCACAGTCAGAGAACATTACAATAATGTGAAGGCTGAACCTATGCGTTACATTAACGTACACTGGACTTAATATTTTCTGTTTACATGCACACTGTGAGGAGATTTATCTATACTGGAAGATGTTTTCACTTTGAATCATACACATAGCTGCACAAGAAGGGAATTCTCCACAGCTCCTCCATTGCACCTCTTGTGTTTTTATATTTTTACATTCTATTATTTTTTATTGCTTTTTATAATGTTTTGTCTTTTTCTATTTAAGTTTTTGTAAATTTACTTGGCAATAATAATGGATTCTGATGATTATTCTGTGCTCTCTTGCTACAGGTACTGGGTACCAGTGGTGTGGCTTCCTATTGTCTTTTATTACAGTTGGCACTGCTACACCACCCTGGCAAAAGGAACCACCAGGATAGTCCTCACTTCAGGTAAATACCTGCAGATAACGAGGCTGTGCATGCTTACCATGTATTACCTCACCTTGTACATTTCCATTACATCTCTTTATTCTCATTTTCATATGCAACATACTTTTTAAAGGATTTCACATGTATGTCTGTGTGTGCATGTGTGTCAAAATCTGTGTATGACTTCTCAGACTTCTCCATCCTGATCCATGAGTACATTTTCCCAATACTGTTTTTGCTGGGCTGGTTCTTGTGGTCGTTCATTGAGTACTGCATCCATCGCTTTGTCTTTCACATGAAACCCCCTGCCCACAACTACTATCTCATCACCATACATTTTCTTCTGCATGGACAGCACCACAAGGTAAAACATCATCATCAATAAGAATGAGGGATTGGAAATTCATCATGAAACAAGTTTAATCATGACACAAATTTATTTTTCCACAGTCTCCATTTGATGGCTCCCGGCTGGTCTTCCCCCCAGGCCTGGCGTCTTTTGTAGTGGAACTTTCTATGCAATCCTCCGCAACACTCTCCCAGATATCCTTGGATATCTGTGTTTGTTGGAGGACTATGTGGCTATGTCATATATGATATGATCCATTACTACCTTCACTATGGCTCACCAAAGAGAGGCTCCTATATGTACAGTCTCAAGACCTACCACGTGAAACACCACTTCGAGCACCAACGATCAGGTAAAAATGTGATCGACATGGGGCTGAGACCCAGGGAGATTTGGGTTTGATTCCCCTTGCTTTTGTTTATGTTGTATGTGACCAATGTAGTCTTTATATTTCTTTTCAGGTTTTGGAATATCCTCCACATTCTGGGACCATCCCTTCAACACAGTCATCCCAGATGAAAAAATCTAATACTGAAATGGCTCATCTTCAGGGCCACAGGAATAAACAAGCTTCATCATATCAACCAGTCCTGCTCCTATAACCACCTTGAAAATCTTTACTTTATTCTCTGCAGAGGTATCTTTAACACCGAAGTAGGAACTTCACATTTAGACTGCTGAATCACTGATCTATCCAAACTTAATATATCACAAAACTACAACATATTTTTTGCATGTACTTAGTTAGCCACGTCTGCACAGTTGCAAGGGGTTTCTGTGCCATTTTTCACAACTTAATCAATTACTACTGCTGTGCTCTTCTCTTTAGTGAGTGCACTTGCCAAATCATCACCTGATAGGCACTAACATGATAACGTTAATAGTAAATAGAAAGGAAGAGAGTGTCACAAGCACAAATAAGGGTAAGTCACATTTATGTGTTTGGATTGTTATGGTACACTTTAATTATAACCAATTTCTCAGTGATTGTCAAATGCGTATATACAAAATGTCACCAAGGCCCTTAACAATATTTTGAAACTCTTTTTACTGGTCCAAACATTCAACCACAGCTCAAGTAGACACACACACACTGTCCTAAATACCCTCAGAATGAGAGAAAGGAAGCAAGAAGGGATGGAAGCTGAAAGAGAACATGAAGAAGAAAATCATTTGACTAGGTGACCAACAGTATGTGACAGTGTGTCGAAAGACTGAGTGAATGAGAGCCAGCACACTGCAAAAAAAACAACCTCAGGAAAATGTCTTCATATTTTGTCAGCTCTGTCTGTTGCTTGAATATTATTGTAATTTTGCTGTAGGCCACTAAGCTACCCAGCCATCCTACATGACCATATTTGACGGCAGGCTTTATGACAACAAAAAAATAATTTACCATGGTATGTCTCCTGTAGTTGGTAAGCAGCTGAGAACAGAAAATATTCACATATCTGAACATGTTGAGATGTCCTAAAAAAGTGATGTTTTAACTTTATAATCATCAAAAAATATGAAAAGGGAAATTTACATTTCTGCAGTAATTTGGTGTACAATTAAAGTAAATTTTATGAAACAATTGTGAAAAAATGTAATTTCTGCTAGTCTGTTGTTAAACTCCTTAATTTTCATATTTTTTTATGTTTATGATACACACT